AAACACAGGCAGGGTCGAACAACAGCAAACAGGTATGGCACAGGCAAGACAAAGAATATTCCTTGGGCTAGCGTGGGTCTACGATCGGCGAACAGTATCCAGAGGGCTTGACAAGAGGGGTAATCCAATAAACACAGGCAGAAGGTCAGGAAACAGACAACAAGGCAACACGGAAAGACTAGACCAGACTAAAACTAAAAATGGGAAAAGGAATGGCTCAGTAATGTAGCTATCGCTAGAGGAGAGATAAACGCTAAACAAAACTAGAGACTAAACAGAAACACGGAATGGCTCTGTAAAGCAGCTAACACTTGGGGAGTGCTAAATGCAGAACAATACTCGGCCCTGAGAGAGAGGAAGTCCATAGCTTATGTAGCATGTCTGATTGGATTCAGCTGTGTGTGTGTAATCAGTGCATTCAGCTGTGTGTGTGTAATCAATGCAATGGATGATGGGAACTGTAGTCCGGGGTGACAAGTAACAGTCTGTGTAGTGTGAGAGTCAATGTAATGGTAGAATGACCTCTAGTGGCAATTGGCCGGAAGGCCACGGACCGGATTCGGGACAAGACATCTATAAGGTAAATGTACAGCACCACAAATTTATCACAGTTGACTCATATTTTCTATCCGCTTGACTTAAGACCTGACTCTTGACTTAGACTTGTAAAACAATGACTTATGTATGTAGCCCTCGTTACAGAGGGTGAACGGAGACATCACGTCGGTAATGACCGAAGAATTGGGATCTCACTTAGAGAGACCAATCCACTTCGAGTGTAAACTAAACGAGCCAATGCACATTGGCATGCGATGATTGCATCCAGCTAACCGAGACGTTCCCTTTCAGTCGGTCACTCTCGACGTCACGTCAGTAATGACCGACGAATTGGGATCCCTACCAAAACGCCATGGATGCTGCCCCTTCCAAGGTCCTGTGCGAGCCTCCTGCGCCCCCTTTTCGGCGTAGTCCTCATGGAATGGCAGAAGTCTGCCGGGGAAACATGGGCTCTGAGGCTATACTGTGGACTTTACAAATATGGGATCCACTTAGCAAGCTGACACTAAACCGAGGCCTCTCAGTGCCTCTACCTGTTTGAGGTGAGAACACAGCAGGATACCAGCTCCACACGAAGAATACAGAATCTAGCAAATGTGTTGGGGGTCGCCCAGCCTGCAGCTCTACAAATATTTGTCAGTGAGGCGCCACGAGCCCGCGCCCAGGAAGATGCAACACTTCTAGTAGAGTGAGCTCACAACCTGAGCGGGCAGGGCACACCCTGTGCCTGATAAGCCAGGGTGATGGCATCCACTGATATAGTTT